CCGCCAAGCAGGGAGCCCGATGCGGGGCTCGATCCCAGGACCCTGGGATCATGACCTGAGCCGAAGGCAGACGCTTAATGACTGAGCCACCCAGGTGCCACTGGGAAAATGAATTTTTAAAAAAGAAGGTAAAGAGGGGGCTCTGGGGCCTTCGTCTTAGAGAAATGAAAAGTCCCATTACACGAAACCTGTTCACATATGCTCCCAGCAGCTTTACCTGTGGCAGCCGATGCTGGAAAGAGCTCGCGTGTCCTACAACCACTGAGTGGTTGGGCAAACAGATCCGTCCGCCCCACGGAACACCACTCAGCAGTACGCAGTCGTGGACACCCCGTGAAGACACACAGCCCCTGGGTTGGATCTCCCAGAATCATGTGGGACAAAAAGACCCCCCCCGCCAAGGTTACGTGATGTGTGAGTCCACCTAACAGCTCCCTTGTGATGAGGACATTATGGGAATGGAGAAGAGATGAGTGGCTGCCAGGGTAAGGGTGTAGGGGTGGTGAGGAAGGAGGGTGGGCAACATGAGGGACCCTCGTGATGGAGCCCTTCTATCCCATAAAAATGGGGAAATCCAGATAAGGTGGGCGGATTGGATCGATGTCGACATTCTGGTGATACTGTAGTACAATTTTGCAAAATCTCACTCAAGTTTGTATTAGGATTTACCATGAGCTCAGAAAAACACACACAGTTAAAAGGTTGAAAGGGAGGTCCAGGAAGAGGAGTCGTTTGGAGCCTGTTCAGCTGGATCTTGTTTTCAGAGCCCCTCCTGTGTGCCAGGCTCTGCACTGGGGGCCGGGCCCCAGCGGTGACAAGGAGCAACCTCTACAGAGCCCCTGTCTGGTCGTGGACAGGAGGGGCAAACTATCTGGGGAGATGCAAAGTGACTGCAGTAATGAGGGTTAGGAAAGACACCTGTGAGCCCTGCATGAGTGACTGGGAGCCTGACCTTGGTGGGGGAGAGTCCAGGAAGGCTTCCTGGCACAGGGGAGTCTGGGAAATGTGAATGCAGCTTGGAGATGGTGGAAGAGCAGAAGGGATGGAGGGTACAGACAGTGCAAAGGCCCTGAGGCAGGAAATGTCTAGTGGGTTTGAGGAACAGTCAGAAGGCCTGTGTGGCCAGAGGAGGGTGAAGTGGGAAGGTTGCCAGCTGCAGGGATGAGTTGGGTCTTTCCTGGTGGTGATGGGAGCCGGGGGGGCTTGTAAGCAAGGAGAGACATGGTCCAAGGTAGGAGGAGATTTTTCCAGTGTATTATTCCATTACTATGACTGTTCTTAGTCATCAGACTGGGCGGCACACTCAATCTGAGAAGGAGTGGGATATGCCCCAGGGCCACCGGATAGGGATAAACTTTGGGGGGTCTGGGCGGGTAGGGGAAGGGGCTAATTTCAATTTCAGATAAGCAATGAAAAGCTTTTTAAGCTCTTATTTATTTTTGAGAGAGAGAGAAAGAGTGAGCATTCGCACAAGCCGGGGGAGAGGGGGAGGGAGAAGCAGGCCCCCAGCCGAGCAGGGAGCCCGATGCGATGCGGGGCTCGATCCCAGAACCCCGGGATCATGACCTGAGCCGAAGGGAGACCCTTAACGACTGAGCCACCCAGGCGCCCTGAAAAGCTTTTTAGTATAAGGTCCTGTGCGATAGTTGTGACACACTTAACATTTAACTGCGAATCCGTATTTATCTAGCAATTCTACCGTAGAGCATTCAAAAGAAGCTACAGAGGAGGAAATGAACTTCGCGGGCCTCCGTTTCCCCGTCTGGCCAGGGAATCTTGTTTTCAGGTGATGCGGCGCCACCTGGCGGTCTCCTGTGCGAGCCAGCGCACCGGGGCTGGCCCCGCCCCTCGCTGCAGCCCCGCAGGTGCCCGGCAGGTGGTGCGCGCACCCCACGGAGGTTCCTTGTTCAGCCCCACCAAGGAGAGTCCCCAGCGCCTGGCGCTGTGTCGCTCCTGTGTACCCCAACCTGGACCCCTGGCCAAACGTTTCCCCGCTGCAAAATGGGTCAAGTAGAGCCGCATTATGAATTTCCCGGGTCCTAGACACTTTTGTCTCGTGGGTCTTGTCCATAAAAAAGTACTAAATGTGATTATTTTACAACTATGTTGATATAAGAACTAATACTGGGGCGCCTGAGTGGCTCAGTCGTTAAGCGTCTGCCTTCGGCTCCGGTCACGATCCCGGGGTCCTGGGCTCGAGCCCCGCATCGGGCTCCCTGCTCGGCGGGGAGCCTGCTTCTCCCTC